GGAAGAAAAATATATTTACTAAGTCAGTAGAAGTGGATCATCATAAAGGTCTTTATCCTCATTATCTTCACATTGAGTAGACTGAGGAGAAGCAGCAGGAAGAGGAGGGGTTGACCTTGCTGTCTGTAGGGTAGCAAAAGGTGTAAGAAGATTTGGAAGGAGAGGCAGGCACACTTGGTATAACTATGGAAATACGTCGTAATTTCTGTGTGTTCTGCTTTATTTCTCTAAAAATGTTTCTGTTACAGTACTGATCCTTCTTCCACTATTTGCTTTAGTTTCAGAGCCCATATCATCGAAAGGTCCATATCGTAAGAGTCCTTTGTGGCTTTTTTTTTTTTTTCCAGAATAGGGCATTTTTGTCTACATTTAAAACCTGTTCAGGCAGATATCCTTTGTCCTCGATGATTTTCTTAATGATATCTGGAAACTCACCTGTTGCCTTTTGGTGGGCAGAAGCTTCTTATCCTATTATCTTGACTTTTTAAAGCCAAACCTCTTTCCAAAATTATCAAACCATCTTTTTCTGGCATTAAATTCTCCAGCTTTAGATCCTTCACTTTCCTTTGGCTTCACATTGTCATATAATGACTATATTGACTTTGCTTTTTAAAAGTCATATTAGAGTCTATATATCGATATGCCTTTCTTTTAACAATCCTGCACCCCCATAAAAGCTGGATTCTCAATAAGAGGTCAAAGGTATTTCACAAAACATACAAGGTTTTCACACCTGCTGGCATAGCTGCAGTGACATCATCACAAATTTTCTTTTTTTACCATGGTTCTTATGCTGGACTCATTTTTCTTGAAATGGTGGGCAACCACAGCTTCACACCTCAATCTATGGTACATGTCAAGCAGTTCAGCCTGTTCTTGTAACGTCATGACTTTTCTCTGCTTCTTGGGACCACTTGCAGCATCACTAGTGATACTTTTTATGGTTTCCAAGGTGTATGATATGTGAATTTTATCTTGACAAAGCCATTATTTTTATATATATGTATAGGAATATATTTTTATATATATATGCATATATATATATATATAAGAATGACCCCAGGTTCTCTAGCTTGGCAATTGGGTGGATTATATTGTTATTTACTAAGATAGGGAAGGGTTGGAATGATGAGTTCAATTTTTGATTTGTTGAGTTTGAGGGATTTACGGGAAATCCAAATGAAGATAATCCAGGAATCGATCTATACATACCCAGAATTCAGGAGTGAGGTCTACACTGAGTATACAGATTTGTGCCTCACTACATACTGAGTGTCCCTAATCCAGAAGTTCAAAATTTGAAGTTTTTTTTGAGTTCTAGATTTGAAATGCTCAACCAGTAAGTATAATGCAAACATTCCAAAACCAAAAAAAATCTGAAATCTGAAACATTTCTGGTACCAGTTACTTTGGATAAGGGATACTTAACCCATAACATACAAGTGGCAATTGAAAGGGGTGCATAGAACAAAACCTTGAAGACAAAGATAAATAGGACAGAAAAAGGAAACCAAAGTCTGCTAAAGGTGATGAAAAGATGTAGCCAAGGAGAGAAAGAGGAAAATCAGGAATATATGATACAATGGAAGCCAGTAAAAGACTGATGTAAAGAAGATGGGAGTAATCAGCTGTGTTGAATGCTACGAACAGATTAAATCAGATGAGGAGGTTATTGGTAATATTGGAAGAGTAGTATGATTTAGAGTAGTGCAATAAAAGTAAGATTGCAATTAGTTGAGAAATCCATGGGAGATACGGAATTAGAGATAGCCAAAGTTTGGATTTGAAGAGAAGTCAAGATTAGGGAGAATGTAGGGTGAAAAGGCTCTTTGTTTTTATCTTAGGGAAGGGTGTTAAGATGAAAAAGACTTGAACTTTTAGTGCTGTTGGGAATGAGCCAGTGGGGACAGAGGTTATAAATACCCAGAAGATAATCTATAGGGTGCGATTTCTGACAGTGCTGAAGGGAATCTGAACACAAGTAGGGGGATTAACATTAAAAATGGGGAGGAATCTCAAGACCAGCCTGGCCAATATGGTGAAACTCCATCTCTACTAAAAATACAAAAATTAGCTGGGCATCGTGGCGGGCACCTGTAGTCCCAGCTGCTCGGGAGGCTGAGGTAGGAGAATCACTTGAACCCGGGAGGCGGAGGTTGCAATGAGCTGAGATTGTGCCACTGCACTCCAGCCTGGGCAACAGAGCAAGACTCCGTCTCAAAAAAAAAAAAAAAAAAGGCCGGGGGGAGGAATCACGTTTCTATGATAACAGGAGTGAAGAAGGAAAAAGGATAAGTGGAAGTAAATGTGTTTGTAGGTTTGTTGGTAAGACATTAAGGAAATTCTGATTGAGTGCCTCCTATTTTCTCCTTGAAATAAAAGATCAGATTACCTGTTGTGACTGAGTGGGGATATTTGTGGAGAAGATTTGAAATAGCTGAGGAATACTGCAGAGAAGAATACTAGTGAAATATAGTGGGACTGGCAGTCATTACTGAAATCCAGAGGAAATGAATATTATTTTATAGTGATGTCACACTGCCCTAATTATAAGATTTTTTACCTGGGTAGAGCAAGGGATTGGCCAACTCTGGGCTCATGGGCAAGTCTGGCTCATGGCCTTTTTTTGTAAATAAAGTAGGTTTTAGACACAAATATTGAAGCTGCCTTTGCAAAAATTATATCAGTGAGAAAATTGTGGCAGTAGGGGAGATCTGATCTAGCCAACACCCCCTCTTGCCTTTAGCCTTCAAGCTGCCTTAATTATTCCTGGACTTTGGCCAAGCTAACTTTGGAAGACATTTAGTTAATACTGTATTTTTAAATTTTATTTACTTATTTATTTATTTTTGAGACAGAGTTTCACTCTGTTGCCCAGGCTGGAGTGTAATGGCATGATCTTAGCTCACTGCAACCTCTGCCTCCCGGGTTCAAGCGATTCTCCTGCCTCAGCCTCTCATATAGCTGGCATTACAGGTGCCCGCCACCATGACCAGCTAATTTTTGTATTTTAAGTAGAGTTTCACCATGTTGGCCAGGCTTGTCTCATACTACTGACCTCAAGTGATCCACCTACCTTGGCCTCCCAAAGTACTGAGATTACAGGGGTGAGCCACTGCCCCCAGCCATTTTATAGTTTAAATGATAATAGCCCTTCTCCAAAAACTCAGCCACCTTTGTAAAGCTAATGAGAGAGCACCAGACTAGGAGGAGGAGCGGAGCCTGAATTCTGCTAAGATATAGGCTCAGCAGTGGCTCACACCTGTAATCCCAACACTTTGGGAGGCCAAGGAGGGTGGATTGCTTGAGCCCAGGAGTTCGAGACCAGCCTGGGCAACATGGCAAAACCCCATCTCTACCAAAAATACAAAAATTAGCCAGTCTCATAACCTGGTCTCAAAAATAGATAAATAAATAAATAAAGAGACATAAATGATTGCCAGCCATTATTCCAGAGGTCACAGGATATATAACTTCCCCAATTACTCCTGTAGATAACATCACAACTGCAGAACCTGAGATTGGCCTTTTGAGATATCTTTTCAGGATTTTTTCATATCGGACACCAGTGGCACCACCTGGACCTGCCAACTGCCCCTGTGGCCCCACCCAAAAGTGGCTCAGTGGACAAGAGGACCATTCCCCACACCCTTATGGTTGCACCCCCAGCCAGTCAACAGCAAGCACCCATTCATTGCCTAACCACTCCCACCCCTTCCCTCAAACTACCTTTGAAAAACCCCTAACCTACAAGACTTCAAGGAGATTGATTAATGTTAATAAATCCCATCTCCCACTTGGCACAGCCAGCTTTGCATCAGTTAAACTCTTTACTGCAATGCCATGGTCTTTGTGAATTGGTTTTGTTTGTGCAGCAGGCAGAAAGAACCTGGTGAGGCCGGGCGCTGTGATCCCAGCACTTTGGGAGGCTGAGGCGGGTGGATCACGAGGTCAGGAGATCGAGCCCATCCTGGCTAACATTGTGAAACCTCGTCTCTACTAAAAATACAAAAAACTAGCCGGGCATGGTGGCAGGCGCCTGTAGTCCCAGCTACTCGGAGGCTGAGATGGGAGAATGGTGTGAACCCAGGAGGCAGAGCTTGCAGTGAGCCGAGATCGTGCCACTGCACTCCAGCCTGGGCGACACAGCGAGACTCCGTCTCAAAAAAAAAAAAAAAAAAAAAAGAAAGAACCTGGTGAGCAGTTACAATATGTTCATTTATTGTCTATGACTGCTTTAACACTGCAGTGACAGAGATGAGTAGTTGGTCCTGAAAGCCTAAAATATTTACCATCTGACTTTTACAGAAAGTTTGCCAACCCCTAATGTAGATCAATTTGGATATAAGTACAGAGAAGGCAGACATTTGGAGTCGCCCAGGGTTGAAGTCTTGACAAATGGAAGGATATTAGCAAAAGAATTGCAGATATTGGCAGTTGACTTTGGTATTGGTATTGGACTTTGAAATCCAAGCTGGAGAGGAAGAGAAGTAGATGAAAGGAACTGATAGGGGTTCCAGAGTTTATTTGGATTTCTTGAGAGTATCTGGTGGGGAAAAGCTGAAAATTATAGAAGATTGTGGTCATAGATAACTGAAATGTATGATTTCAAAGAAGGGGCAATTCTAGGTAGTGACAGTGTCCTAGGTGTGGTAGCTCAGGTTATATGGAACTGAGATGCAGTTCTGACTACATCATCCATGTAGATGCTGAGCTCTCTCCCCACCAGGAATATGGAATATGGAGAGGCACATGCTTGTATTTTCTTAATTTGTGGGATTCATTGGGGAAACATATTTTTTTCTCGTAGAAGGGAAAAGAATGTTGTAAATGACAGGATTTCAAATTATCAAGGTTTTTTGGGGTATTGCATTCCTATGTTTAAGTTGAATTGCTAACAGTCAATTTAAAAATAGCTACAAATTTAGGGAAAAGTAAATAGAAATCTTATTGCTTTTTTACTTAAACCTTATACTTTTTTAATGTCTTTTGATTACCAGACTGCAGATGTATTTAATTTTGAGGAAACAGTTTATAGTCATCATATGTCTCCAGTCTCCACCAAGCACTGTTTGGTAGCAGGTTTGTAAGTGTATTCTTTTGTCTTTTGAAATATTGAAAACTTTCTCCCTTTTTATTTCTAGTTAGTTTTGATGTAGACATTTTAACCCACAGGAATATCACAATTCTTTATATATATATGTACTATTTATATTCAGTTCAACAGATATTGTACAAGGCAAGCACTATGTTAGTGGCCAGGATTCAGAGAATAAGAGCATACTTCTGTCCTCTAAAGAGTTCCTTTTAAACCACCGAAGTTTCAGAGATTTTACATGAATAAAATTTGGCAACTTTCCCAATTTGACACAATAAAACAAGGAAATTATTTCTTTTTTTTTTTTTTTTTTTTTTTTTTTGAGACGGAGTCTTGCTCTGTCGCCCAGGCTGGAGTGCAGTGGCGCAATCTCGGCTCACTGCAAGCTCCGCCTCCCGGGTTCACGCCATTCTCCTACCTCAGCCTCCCGAGTAGCTGGGACTACAGGCGCCCGCCACTGCGCCCGGCTAATTTTTTTCTATTTTTTAGTAGAGACGGGGTTTCACCATGGTCTCGATCTCCTGACCTTGTGATCCGCCCGCCTCGGCCTCCCAAAGTGCTGGGATTACAGGCGTGAGCCACCGCGCCCGGCCAGGAAATTATTTCTTTCTCTAAGATTGTGATTCAAATTAAGCATCAATTTATATAAAAGCAACTGCAACAAACATCTTCATATTATAAGGGAGAAAAAATGATTTTCTGGTATCAGGTATCTGGGCCCTGTGATTCATTATTTCTGTGGCACCACGTGAGTCTCTACCTCTGGATATCAGTCAGCTCTTTTATCTGTAAAGAAGAGCTAGGAACTAAGTTGTCTTTGAGGTCCTTTCAGTCTGTGTCCAGAGTTTCCGTGAATCTGTTACTAGTGATTGGGAATATATCATTAACTTGGAGAAACTAAGCTATTAAAATACAATGATTTGATGTGATAAAATGGAGTAGAACTATACATACATACATACACATTTACCAATATAAATTTCCTGGGTTTGATACTGTGTTTTAGTAAGCTCACACATAATCGTTGGGGAAACCTAGTGAAGGGTACACAGTTCTCTTTATACTAGCTTTGCAACTTCTTGCAAATCTATAATTATTTCAGAATAAAAAATAAATGGAATATTAGAGGTCTCTTACTACTAAAATATAACTGTAGTTAAAATAACTTTTCTAAATGTAAACATTAAAAATGACAATGTATTTTTGGCATATATCTTTATATTTCTGCATGGATACAGTGAAAATGTCATGATTACTAATGATAATGTCTTGTTTCCTTTTGATGATGACTTATAATAAAATTAAACTGGTTCTGTTTTTACAGTTGGTACTAGAGGACCCAAAGTACAACTTTGTGACTTGAAGTCTGGATCCTGTTCTCACATTCTACAGGGTATTTTTATTTTATTTTAAACAGCAACTACTTTGAGTAAACAATTCAATAAAAAGAAACGTTACTAACAATGTATTCTTTGTAAGTGACATGACTGATGTACTTTGTGCTAGTTGTTAAAAGTCAGCAGAGAAATAAAGATCTTTCCGTGCATTATTCTTATAAAACTGAACCACTGAAAAGACATTTATGTGAACAGTGGTCATTGGGGAAGCTCAAATGATATGAAAAATAGTTCTAACTCAAAACCTTGTGTTATTCCTACATTTAAAAAAACTAACGCAACTCACATCAGTGTATTTGTCTCATGTATTATTTAATATTCTGGCTAATGAGTAAATATTGTTCTTAATATTTAGGTACATTTTTTCTCAGTAAAAACATTTTAGAAAAATATATTGAAGTAATTCTTTGGTAAAGGTGTATTTAAATTATTCTTGCTACTTTTATCAGTATTAGATTGTCTAATTCTAAACAATGAAAAGATAGAATATAATTTATATATTTTTAGTCATCTCAAAGAAACATGTAACAAATATATTAAGAAAAGTTGGTGAGATGGGTAGCATTTTTGACATTATTATGAATTTTTATTAATATAAGCTGAGCAGATGGAAATGTCTTATGTGAATAGTTCAGTTAGGTAAAAGTGAATTAAAATATTGACATCACTTACCCTTTGAACTTATCACCTGTGCTTTCTAGAAAAAAAATATTTTATATAAATGCTTTTCTACAATCATGAATTAAAGTAATTTTCTGTTATAACTTTATGAGAAATTGGGAAACATTTTTATCCTTTAAAATGTTTATCTTGTATATTTTATTACAGTAACTGAGCTTGAGTTATATGGATTTACTGCCATAGGCTATCTACTGTATTTAAAAAGAAAGACTTACTTAACTCTGTTTTTTCCAAAGCAAAACTAGTTCTTTTACAATAAAATACCATGTGTTAGAAATACTCCTGTAAACTTCACATTAGCATTGAAATGTCGATTATTATAAATCTGAGAAATGACCATATCTATTCACATTGAGTGTTTAGCCTCACTTTCTTTAGAATCAGGCAAAATTATTGGCACTTTATCTTCTGATTTTTCGGATATCTTGCAAGACTTTTCATATAGTTGTATTTGCAGGTCACAGACAAGAAATATTAGCAGTTTCCTGGTCGCCACGTTATGACTATATCTTGGCAACGGCAAGGTAAAATTATTTGCTTTTGAAGTTAGTAATTAAGAATAAGCATTTTGAAAAGTCTACATTTATGTAATGTATATATTTTAGCATATTTAATTATTAATTCACTCCTTTAAAATGAAGTAGTGAGTTAGAAATTTTAATTCATGTCACCAAAAGAAGTCTTCCTTTGTATTCTAATTCTAATCCTATCCACTTTCAAGGTGTTTCACCTTAGAACACAGAAGAACTGTGTTGTGTCATTCTTACACACAAAAGTATAATACTGCAAATTTTTAAATAGAGCATTTTTATGCATTATCTTTAACCTGGAATTCTTTTGAATGTGATATATCCACACATTGATTGATTCAATTTTCTGATATTTAATGACTTCCTCCCACATGCCAAGCGTTGTGCTAGGGACACAGGTAACTAAGGCTTCGAAAAGCCAACAATCTAATGATCTAATGGGGCATATAGTCAAAAATCAGTGATTACAGGGCATCCTGAAAAATGCTTTAATAGAGGTACATCTCTGGAAGGAGTAATATAGGAAAAGAAAACAGGATCACTTAACTCTGAGAGGATCAAAAGATGTGGGGAGGTTTATTTGTTTGCTGGAGAAAAAGAGTATTGCATATTTATATGCTGGGGAAAGAGTACCAGTAGAGAGAAACAGGTGAAGATAAGAAATGGAGGGAATAATTGGTGCATTTGGTCCTCGAATACACAGAAGTGGTTAGTATCGAGGATCCAGATGAGGGTGGAGGGGACACCTCGTTTGGCACATGAAGAGCACTGTGTGACTAAATGGAAAAAGGAAAAGGTGAATGTGGATACAGTTAAGTTTGTAGCTTTGGCAGAGAGCTCAAGAAATTCAGAGTTAATGGCTTCTCTTGGTGTTTAGTGGAGTAGAACTTGTTGTCACCTCTTGAAAATATAGGAATGAGGATGCAATTTTGAGGAAAGATAGTATGGATCTGGAATAATAGATTGAAAGAATAAGGGAGCTGATTAAGGGCACGTAGGATTACTGGGCAGTTGTTCTCAGTTGAAGATGTAGAGCACAGCTGTAATAAGCCACAGAAATTAAAACATTAAATGAAAGAGGCTTAACAATTTTCAGTGTCTACAGAAAAGTACCTCAGTGCCTGAAAATTTAGAAGTCGTGAGTAAAAGGAAAAAAATAAAATCACAAAAAAGACTTGTAGGAAGGATCAAGGATCTAATGAAGTAGGAGAGTTAGACTAAGAAAACTTTAAAACTGAAGGGATAGGAAGTAGTAATCAAATATTTTGATGTATTTTCATAAAGCTTTAAGTAGAAGAAGAATTATTACAAAAGCTATTCATATTAATTTTATAAAGATCTGTGTCTAGATTTTTTTTTAAGTTTCCAGCCCTCGCTCCCTGCCACAGTTTAGGCCCCAAAGAAGCTTCTGTTAATAATTAGCAGAATGTGATGTTGAAATTTACCATTTCTGAAGTGCAGCAAGGTCTATAATGTAGCCATAAGAAGACTAGCTAAAGAGGTATGAAGGTTAGGAACTAGGTGCTGGTTATGCTTGGGTGGATTTTACATTTTTCATGCTTAACTTGGTTTTCATCAGATAAGAGGAGAGCTAAGAAGCTTTCAATTATAAGCATACTCCAGAAATTTGAATCAGTACCAGAATGGACCTAGTAATCAGTGTTAAAAGTTGGATATGTTCAAATCTAATCTGTTTCAGAAGAAACATAAATCCTCATACTGATTTCGTTTCCCTCACCTGGAAAGAAAGAAAACCAACTTAAGAATGGGAAATGCTAGCTTTTTGCTGACTATTCCAGTTGGCTAGGTTTGATGATCATCTGTGAAAAAGAATCGAGATTATAGAAACCAGTACACCTTGTGTGTATATTTTTTAAAAACTTATAAATAAAAAATAGGCTTATAAAAATGTAATGTAGTGCTCTCTCATTAAAATGACATTGATAAGCCCCCTGGGTTACAATATTGTTGAGGTCCTTGTGAGGACATGATAGCATCAGTTGAACTGATTAGGAGCATATCGGATTGCCGGGCATTTTTCTTTAGAAATAATCTAGAAGCTGAAATAGATGTCTGATCATAGATTTACTTTTCTTCTTTTCGCTTACTTGAAAGAAAATAGAAGTAAGTGTTTAATTTCTAGGCAACATTAAATATAGTTCTCACATATATGGCAAAGATTGATTTGAGTATAGGAAACCAAATGGAAATGCATTGTCCTCATTATTCACCTTACTCTCACCGTGTTTTATATAAAAAGGAAAAAAACACCAAATCATAGCAAATAGATTCTTGAGCAAAGTGAAATTAGTTAACTGCTTGTCTTGACAGCATTTGGATAACAAGCAGTAGAGAAGGTATGGTAAGGAACTTACTAGGAACAAGCTACAAGCCTTTCTGGTCCTTGGGAGAAAAGATGCTCATGTAATTTAAAACAGTATAAAAAGCAGCAAAATTTTGTTCTTGTTATCTGGAAAAGAAAGGTTCCTTTTTTTTTTTTTTTTTTTGCTATTTACTCACTAATTTGAGCTACTGTTGACTATTGAATATGTGCTGAAAAGGCGAAAGTTCAACAACCCTAATGTATGAATACATACGTACCTATATAACAAGACCTCTGTGTGCCGTAAAACTAGAAAGGTGGGTGAGGGGTACAGTCATTGTCCTAGCTACATATGTCAATGTAACATTTATTTATTCTCAGTGCTGACAGTAGAGTAAAATTATGGGATGTGAGAAGAGCATCAGGATGTTTGATTACTCTTGATCAACATAATGGGAAAAAGTCACAAGCTGTTGAATCAGGTAAGGAAGAACACGTTAATGAAGAAATACAACATGATAGTATTTTTTCACATTGAACATTTTTAATTGAAGCCAAATAATAAATGCATATTGACAAATTGCGAACTGTATCATTTTTTAAAAAGGCATTCATCATATATCACTTTCTTAATTTATGTAAAAAAAAAATGATTCTCTTTCTTTAAGATACAAATAAAAATGGCAGTTTCATTTGCCCCCAAATTTTCAAAAGTAGAAATTTTTCTGAATTAACTTGCTTTACTTATTTTGTTTTTGCTCCATTGAGGCCAACTATACAAATTCAATGCCATTTAAAAAGTCACAATAAATTACAGAAATAGTAACATTTTGCGGCCATTGTATCAACATAAAATTGTGTTAAATGTGAGTCAGCTGCAATCCATGTGACAAAGTACCTAAACTGCATTTTTACAGTAGAATTTAATTCCTATGTAGAAATTTTGGTATAGAATTAATTCTGGACCAGAAATATATTAGAATGAACTATATAAAACCTATGATTGTTTTATATAGTTTTTAAACTAAAAAACTATGTATTTTTCAACTAAAAAACTGTATAAAACAATCATAGGTTTTATATAGTTCATCCTAATATATTTCATATGTTAGAATTTATATGGTTTTTAAAAAAAATCTTATGAAGATGTAAACTATATAAAACATGTTTTATATGTTTTTAAATTAATTAGGCTGTTTTAGAATTATGCTTTCTCGAACTTGTTAATTTTGAAAGTGATATAAATTTTGAGACTACAACAGTCATCCTTCCCGTTAAGGTTTTTTTTTTTTTAATGGAAAACACTAGAATTATTGATTTTAATAGTCGATGGAATTATTTTTAGGTTAGCAATAAAAATATTATATAAGAGAGATGAAAGGCATTTAATTTTAAATTTTAGTGTTAAGCTACACACTTAATTGAATTTCATGGCACAGCTTCCTTGCTGGAAAAAAAAATTATGTTTGGCAGAAATTTTTTCCCTTTTTTCTTGTTTTCCTCTATTTTTATAGTTCTGATTTATAGTTTATCCTATTCAAATAATCTGAAGGGTTGGTTAATTTTAAGTATAATCTACTTACATTTTTTAAGTAACTCAAGTAGTTGTCCTTTAATATGTTTAAATAATTATATCATCAAACATTAAATATGTCCTGAATACAAGAACAGATAAACTGAACTATATTTTTCATTGCAGCAAACACTGCTCATAATGGGAAAGTTAATGGCTTATGTTTTACAAGTGATGGGCTTCACCTCCTCACTGTTGGTACAGATAATCGAATGAGGCTCTGGAATAGTTCCAATGGAGAAAACACACTTGTAAGAGATTTTTAAGTATATATTTGGGTATAAATTAAGAAATGTATCTGTGACATACACTTGATTTTTTTTTTAATATTTTTAATATATATAACTCATTTATTCCCTTTGAATGACAGCTCTTTTTAAAAATGTGTTTCCATTATGTGGACTAGTAATTCTCAACTCAAGACAACCCACCCTTACCCACTACCTACCACATTCCCCCTACTTAACAGAGAATCACTGTTCTACTGAGCTATTGTTTTCTCAATGAGAGTGCAAAGTGTAGTAGAAAAAACTGTTCTCAATGGGACTGCAAAGTGTAGTACAGAAAAAAAGACTGAGGACTACTGACATAAATTAAAGATACTAAGCTAAGTAATCAAATTTTATATATGTTGTGTATCCCTAATCTGAAAATCTGAAATCTGAAATGTTCCAAAATCTGAAACTTTTTGAGTGCTAGCATGACACACAAATGAAGTGCTCATTGGAACATTTCAGATTTTGCATATTCAGATTAGGGATGTTCAGGCAGTAATGCAAATATTCTAAAATCCAAAATACTTCTAGTCCTAATCATTTTGGATGGGGATACTTAACCTGTACTATATATGACTTGTAAGCAAAATTCACAATGAATTTTATGGTGCTAGAATATGTAGTACTTTATTTAAATACTACCGGAATAAATATATTTTGAAGGTGCTATATTCTTATGTGACTATTAATACTACTGGAATAAATATATTTTGAAGGTGCTGTATTCTTATGTGGCTATTAATTTCTGATACTTATTTTTACGTATGTTGTAGTCTTACCAGGTATGCCTATGGTTTAGTAATTTTCAGAATAAACTGCTAAAAGCTTATAATTTGGTGATAATAATAATAGCTAATATTTATTGAGAGCTTATATGTCAGATACTATGCTAATAATAATTAGCATTTAATTTGCCAGGCAGTATTAGACAGCAGTGGGAAAAACATGAAAAAGTCCTATCCTCATGGAGCTTACATTTCAGCAAGAGGATGAAAGGCATCAATCAATTAATAGATGGACAGATGGATAAATTATATATTAGATTGAGTAAGGACTATGAAGAAAAGCAAAGCAAAGAAAGGAGCACAGGAAATATTGGGAAGTTGGAGTTGCTGTTTCACATAGGGCAGTCAGGGTAGGCTTCACTAAGGTGACATTTGGCCTGAAGGAAATGAGGAAGTGGCTCATCAGTTGTCTGCTGAGGGATATCATTCTAGTCGGAGAAAGAAAAAAGGTACAAAGACCCTGAGGCGAGAACTTGCTTGGGATACACAAGGAAGAGCTAAGAGGTTCTTGCCTTGGAATATGAAGGGAATAACAGATGAGGAACAGAAGGAACTAGGGTGCCAGAGCATACAGGCCCTGCAGGCCTTTGTAAGGGCTCAGGCTTTTCTCTGGATGAAATGGAAAGCCACTGAAGGCTTGTGAGTGGAGAAGTGACAGCATCACTCTGGAAGAGTAGCTGGGCATGTGTGTCAAAGTTTAATGTGATAAATATAAATGGTACTGAATGTATATATAAATTGTTCATGTGGTTCTATTCCATTTTTCTTTCCTTCTTGAAGGTGAGTCTCATGCCCTTTAGATTTTTTCTATTAAGTCCATATCTAAAATAGTGTGTTGAAAATGGATAATACATTTTAGAGTGGACTTGATCAAAGTAAAAGTAATTCATGCATAGATGACTAGGGTATCCCAGAAACTGACCTATATAGAATACTTACAGTTGATACCAGAAAAGATTACTTTAAGGGAAAACACACTGTCCTCATATTTTTAAAGAGCTATCAGAGAGAACCAGTCCTGCCATTTAGTAACTTCTTTTTTTTTTCATTTTAAAGTTGACAGGCCAGGCATGGTAGCTCACGCCTGTAATCCCAGCACTTTGGGAGGCCAAGGCGGGTAGATCATGAGGTCAGGAGATCAAGACTATCCTGGCTAACACGGTGAAACCCCTTCTCTACTAAAAATACAAAAAATTAGCTGGGCGTGGTGGTGGGCGCCTGTAGTTCCAGCTACTCAGGAGGCTGAGGCAGGAGAATGGCATGAACCCGGGAGAAGGAGCTTACAGTGAGCCAAGATTGTGCCACTGCACTCCAGCCTGGGCAACAGAGCAAGACTCCATCTAAAAAAAAAACAAATAATTAAATAAATAAATAAAATAAAATAAAGTTGACAGATGAAATGGTACATATGTATGTACAGCATGATGTTTTGAAGTAAATAGAATATATACATTATAGAATGGTTAAATCTAGCTAATTAACAAATGTATTATCTCATGGTTATTTTTACAATAAGAATACTTAACATCCACTGTCTTTGCATTTTTCAATAACACAGTATATCATAATCAACTGTAGTCACTATGCTGAACAATAGATCTCTTAAACTTACTCCTCCTATCTAACTGTAATTATATATCCTTTGACCAACATCTCCCCAAAACCCCTTTTCTTCTAACCACCCCAGCCTCTGGTAACCACCATCTACTCTACTTCTAAGAGATCAACTTTTTCAGATTCCACATATGAGCGAAATCATGGAGTATCCATCTTTCTGTGCCTAGCTGATTTCACTTAACATCATGTCCTCCAGGTTCATCCCTGTTGTCACAAATTACAGGATTTTCTTCTTTTTATAGCTGAATAGTATTCCATTGTATATGTACACTACATTTTCTTTATCCATTCATCCATTGATGCACACTTCAATTGATCTCATATCTTGATTCCATATCCATTCATCCATTGATGCATACTTAGATTGATTCCATATCTTGTGAATAATGTTGCAGTGAACATGGGGGTGCAAGTATCTCTTTGACACACTGATTTCATATCCTTTTGTTATAAACCCAGTAGTAGGATTGCTGGATCATGTGGTAGTTCTATTTTTAATTTTTTGAGGAACCTCTATACTGTTTTTCTAATGGCTGTTCTAATTTACATTCCCACCAACATCCTTGCCACATTTATTATCTTTTGTCATATTGATAAAAGCCATTATAACAGATGTGTCTCACTGTGGTTTTGATTTTTATTTCCTTGATGATTATTGATACTGAGCATTTTTTTGTGTACCTCTCTTGGCCATTTGTAATTCTTATTTTGAGAAATGTCTTTTCAGGTATTTTGCCCATTTTTTAATAGGGCTATTTATTATCCTGCTCTTGAGTTGTTTGAGTTCCTTATATGTTTTGGATATTAATCAAATATATATGGTTTACAAATATTTTCCCCTATTCTATAGGTTGCCTCTTTAATTCGAGGCTTATGTCCTTTACTGTGCAGAAGCTTTTGAGGTTAATGTAATCCCATTAATCTATGTTTGCTTTCGATGCCTATGCTTTTGAAGTCATATCCAAAAAGCCATTGCCCAGACCAATGTCATGGGGCTTCTGTCTTGTCATTTTCTACTAGATTTTTATTTTCAGGTGTTATATTTAAGTCTTTAATCCATTTTGAGTTGATTTTTTGTGTATATGGTGAGAGAGAGGATTTACTTTCATGTTTCTGCATTTATAGATCCAGTTTTCCCAATACCATTTATTGAAGAGATTATCCTTTCCCATGTGTCTTCTTGGCATTGTTGTCAAAAATCAGTTGGCGGTTCAATGGATGGATTTATTTCTAGGCTGTGTACTGTCCATTGATCTGTGTGTCTCTTTTAATGCCACTATGATGCTGTTTCAGTTACTGTAGCTTTGTAGTATGTTTTCAAGTCAGATCTCAGCTAGAGTGTGATGCCTCTAGCTTTGTTATTTTTTCTCAGGATTACTTTGGCTATTCAAGTTCTTTTATGGTTCCACATGAATTTTAGGATTGTTTTTTCTATTTCTGTGAAGAACATCATTGATATTTTGATAATGATTGCATTGAATCTGTCGATTGCTTTTGGCAGTATGGATATTTTAACAGTGTTAATTCTTCCAATCCACGAACAGATGTATTTCTGTTTATTTTTTCTTTAATTTATTTCATCTGTGTTTTACAGTTCTCAGTGTAGAGATCTTTCACCTCCATGGATAAATTTATTCCTAAGTTTTTGGGGGTTTTTTTGGGGTGTGTGTGTGTGTGTGTGTGTGTGTGTGTGTGTGTTTTAGATGGAGTTTCGCTCTTGTTGCCCAGGCTGGAGTGCATTGGTGCAATCTCGGCTCACTGCAATGTCCACCTCCTGGGTTCAAGTGATTCTCCTGCCTCGGCCTCCCTAGCCCGCCACCACACCCAGGTAATGTTTTGTATTTTTAGTAGAGACAGGGTTTCGCTATGTTGGCCAGGCTGATCTCAAACTCCTGACCTCAGGTGATCCACCCACCTCGGCCTCCCAAAGTGTTGGGATTACAGGCATGAGCCACTGCGCCCAGCCAGTATTTTTTTATATAGCTATCGTAAGTGGGATTGTTTTCTTGACTTCTTTTTCAAATTAGTTCGCTGTTAGTGTATAGAAACACTACTGGTGTTGGTATATTGATTTTTATATTCTGCAACTTTACTGAATTTTTTTACTAGTTCTAATAGTTTTTGGCTTGAGTCTTCAGTGTCTTCTATAAGATTATGTCATCTGCAAGTAGGGACAATTTAACTTCTTCCTTACCAATTTGGATGTCTTTTATTTCTTTCTCTTGACTAATTGTTCTTGTTGGGACCTCTAGTACTGTGTTGAATAGAAGGAGTGAAAGTGGGCATCCTTTCTTTTTTTTTTTTTTTTTTTTTTTTTTTGAGACGGAGTCTCGCTCTGTCGCCCAGGTTAGAGTGCTGTGGCCGGATCTCAGCTCACTGCAAGCTCCGCCTCCCGGGTTCACGCCATTCTCCTGCCTCAGCCTCCCGAGTAGCTGGGACTACAGGCGCCCGCCACGGCGCCCGGCTAGTTTTTTGTATTTTTTTAGTAGAGACGGGGTTTCACCATGCTAGCCAGGATGGTCTCGATCTCCTGACCTTGTGATCCACCCGTCTCGGCCTCCCAAAGTGCTGGGA